GACTTCATTCTTCTTGGATCAACTATCAACACTCGCGGAAGTAGCAGTCAAGAGATCAGACGACGTATTGCACTGGGCAAATCTGCTGCACAGGAACTTTTTAAAGTGTTGAAGAGTAGAGATGTCAGCTTGAGGACTAGGGTGCGCCTGACCCAGGCCATTGTGTTTTCAATAGCCTCATATGGATGCGAGAGCTGCACAGTGAATAAGGAGGATCGTAGAAGAATTGATGCCTTTGAGTTGTGGTGTTGGAGGAGAATACTGAGGGTGCCATGGACTGCCAAAAGAACCAATAAATCTGTTTTGGAGGAAGTGCAGCCAGAGTGCTCCTTGGAGGCCAGGATGGCTAAACTTCGTCTCTCCTACTTTGGACATATTGTCCGGAGGAAACAATCGCTGGAGAAGGATGTCATGCTGGGTAGGGTGGAGGGTCAGAGAAAAAGAGGAAGACCCCCAATGAGATGGATCAGCCAGGTGGCATCATTGATGGACTCGGGTGTGGCAGCGGTAGTGAGGTTGGCCCAGGATCGGACATTGTTTCGTTCTGCTGTGCATGGGGTCGCTATGAGTCGGTTCCAACTCGATGGCACCTGACAACAACAACAACAAAGGCACTGTACTAGGTCCAAGGATATGAAGATGAATTTAATATCACAATCTTCTGTTAATATCTCCCTCATTTTTGTCCATTCAGTCCATTAATGGTTAGTCACATCTACCAGGTCTTTCTTGGCCACACTTCTGCATAGTCAGCGTTTCTCTCTAGAACCTGCATGTGATGCTTCTTTTTTTTCTTTTAGTGTACTACTTTCCACTTATTCTAGTGTATTTTAGCCTGGTATTGATAAGCATTTATTGATTGATTGATGGAAGTTAAATTTTGATCTTCTATATAGAACTCCTGGAGTGATTCTGTAGAATCAGCACTGCACTGAAAGCCACAAGGTCGGCAGTTCAAACCCACCAGCTGCTCCTCAGTAACCCTATACAGGGTTGCTACAAGTTAGAACAAACTCGACGGCACTTAACAACAACAACATATACTTAACAGACCTATCGTTTGTGGTCAGATGTAATATTTATGAAGACTTTCACATTCTTTTCACTGCCAGATCCACATCTCAATACCTTTCTGGTGTGGTGCTGTAGGATCAGCACTGGACTGCAAACCACACGATCAGCAGTTCAAACCCACCTGGTGCTCCTTGAAAACCCTATGTAGAGTCACTATGAGTCAGAACCAACTCACCAGCACTTAGAAACAACAACAACATAGTAGAAGTAGGTAGTGAGACAAGAAAAATGGATCCGGCATCCTAGGTTACCAAAACCTGATGTATCTATAACTGATCAGAATTTTGTCTACTGACCACAACCTTGATGCCTCTTAAATAATGGTCATGATTATTATTAACAAATATCTGAGTAGTTCTCATACGTCAAAACAACAGAAACAATGCATTGGTCCCTGTTCTGGAGGAGCTGGTTGTCTAGCTGAGGTGGCAAATCGCACATGCGATTTGGTAGAGGACATTTACATTCATCTCCTCCGTGGATTAAGAACAAAAGTTAAAATGTGGGAAAGCCAGGAAGAAATGCCCTCCACTGCGTCCTCTTAACTAGCAAGTCTTATTAGCAAATCATTGCCCCTTTCTGAAGGGAGAAAGATTCGCTAATCTCTGATTGGTCAGAATCCAGGACATTAATTAGTCCATATTTCACCAGTAGACGGTCACATACCCTTGTGTGGTACTCATACTCCCTGTTTCCTGCTATGTAGGCATAGGCCAGTTTCCATTGAGCACACGATTAGATGATTAAACCTGGTCTGCTTGGCAAATTTTATCATCTTGTCCTTTCTTTCTTGTAGGCATACCTAACTAAGCATTCTAGTTCCAGACTTTAGACTTGGGGGCCAGAGAGCTGAGAAAATTCTCTTCAGACTTCAACTTAAACCGTATGATTCAACTCAATCTGTTGGCAAAGCTCTGCTCTGAGGTTATTAGGCATTAGCTCATCTATGAATAAAATAATCCTTTGGTTTCTATTCCAATTTCTTTCTTGCTTAGGGTTCCCTTGGGAGCCCCAGGGAAAGGGGGTTAATTAGCAGTGCCACAAACCTACCAGCCACTCTGGAAACCCTGCACACAGTCTCTTAACAACAACAACATGTGGCTCACCAAGATCGCTGTGTTTCTTCCACGAGGCCAGCATTGCTAGGTAGAGGTTTCTTTAGCAGCCTGGGTCCCAACATGAAGACAATCCATGAAGCAAAGCCAAGCTGATCTGCTACGGACATACATGGTGTTTTGAGACATAAATGATGTTTATAGATGGTATGGTGCTTGCAGTAGGATCAGCACTGTGACCCAAAAGATCAGCAGTTCAAACCTGCCAGCTGCTCCTCTGAAACCCTACATAGAGTCGCTATGAGTTGGAACCGACTCCACAGCACTTAACACCACCAATGGTGTTTATAACTTTGTTGTTGTAATCCTCTTTAGGATCACACCAGGAGTCCAATCTAGTTTATCATGACTTGTACACTTGGCTTTACTATCAGCTATATCAAATACCATTGTTTGTCCGGTGAACATCTATGTCACCCTTCGTTCTTCCTAAACCAAATCAATTCTGACTCATAATGACCCTGCTTGTCTTCTCATCCTAGGTTTAAATCAACAATGTGGCACTAAATCTTTAACCTATATGTTCCCCGGGGAGTCCTGGTGTGGCGCTGTGCGTTAATGCGTCAGACTGCTAAGTCATTTGAACTGCAAGGTCAGTGGTTCAAGCTCACCAGCTGCTCCTTGGAAATCCTATACAGGGTCTCTATGGGTCGGAATCGACTCGATGGCACTTAACAACAACAATATGTTCCTGGAGCACAGGACAGAGGTTAGTCAGGACAGTAATGATTAGAGAGAATGGTTAAAAGGATTTGAACAGAGAGGCGGGAAAACTTATTAAAAACCCCTTCTCTCAATGGCAGATTCAAACTGCTGACATTGCAGTTAGCCGCCCAACTCGTAATGGGCTAAGCTATCACAGCTCCTTAATTTAGGCATGATAGAATTCTTTTACATTGTTGAAGGCAGGCTATGTCAGAGTTAGATTTGAAATCTGGTGTCATCTATGGAGAACCATTATAGAAAATAATACCTCTTAGTAACAAATGCTTATCTGAGGCAGCTATTATACTTGAGGAATTTCAGGGGTATAGCAAAACCTTACACAAGTGTAACAAATTGAATTGTGGTTAGAAGAAAAGAAAAGAAAAGAAAAGTGTATTACTGGGCAGTAGGTTACTGTTGGATGGAGTCCTGGTGTAGTACTATAAGATAAGCACTGGACTGCTTGCTAACTGCAAAGTAGTAGGTTCAAACCCACTAGCCGCTCCTCGGAAAAACAACACAAGGTCATTATGAGTTGCAACAGACTCTATGGCACTTAACATGAACAAGGTTAATGTTGGAGTCCTGTTGTGGTGCTGTGAGATAAGGACTGGACTCCTATCCTTTAGATCAATGGTTCAAACTCACCAGCTGCTCCTTGGAAACCCTATACAGGATCACTATGTGTCAGAATCCACTGGACGACACTTAACAACAGGTTACTGTTGCTCATTTTAAGAAAACACATTAGTTAGGGAGAGATGCTTTGCAACACTAAAGAATTCACTTAGAATTGATTGAAAATGGAGTTAAGCTTTTAAACTCCATTTACATGGAACTTTTTCAAATGCACACATCTGCATAATATTTACAATGAATCCTATACCTTACCTGAGACATCCTAATCCATTTTTAAGCTTTGATTGCTAGGCCCACCTTGAAACTACTTTTACTGTCCAAAGCTAAAATAAATAAATAAAAGATTTCAATACGCTGCGAGAGTAAATGCAATCTCTAAAACTTCGGTCCTACTTTAGAAAGAAAAACCTGGCTTCAAACAATGTACGGTAGTACTTTTGCAGGCAGGGTTTGCAACTGGCTAAAGACCAAGGACAGTGTGAAGAGATGACTCAGTTGTATGGCCTGGGGGTGGTGCGGGGGAGGAGGAAGGATCAGCCTATGGTCCTTCTGATTAAACGGGCTATTAGGTAGGATTTAATTTATTTTTATTTTTATCATATCCATATTCTGGAGACTCATAACTGTTCAAGCCAAGAGAAGGGTGTCTAGTGAAGAAAATCTGAGACCCTCAGAAATGCACCTTCAAAAGATCTAAATGGAAGGCTAAAACCCTAATTCATCCCTGCCCCAGACTTGAGGCCAGGATTTGGGCAGAGAAATCGCTCACCATTCAAAACCTCCAGGGACCCAGGGACCCAGAGTCCAGTTGGAGATCTAACAGCGAGACCTCCTCCAGGCTTGGGATTCTCCCCTTGGGATGTCTCTGAGTCCTGCCCTGGCCTTGTTACCAGTCCCGGATGCTCCGGATGGTCTTTGGGACGCTTCGCGCTGTCTGTCAACCCTGACATTCTCACAGTCTCACTGAGCCGCCGCCCGGGCCCCTCCCGCTCAGGCCGCGCCACAGTGGGGGTTCGCGCCACGCCCACCAGGGGTCCCGGACTGGGCACGTGTTGTCCTGGGTCTGTCTCGCCACTGCTCGCCTGCGGCTCCCGGGCTCCGCCCCCGCTCC